GTGCTTGTATATACTGTTTAGTCATAACCACCCGTCCACTATCCATAACCTAAGGTTTCTATCACATTCTGAATATCTACCTTCACTCCATCAACATCGCAGCTTGCCAGATAGCAATGGAAATCATTGAAGAAGTTGGATATTTTCTTGGGGTCAATGATGCAAACTCCATACTTCTCCAAGCTGTCCATGGCAATATCTCTAAGATTCCCCACGTTACCAGGTGACTGAATGGGATGTATAACCTTTGGGTTGTATTTCTTCATTATTTCAGATGGTGGCAAAACCCCTCCCCAATAACCAGGTAAAACATGCCACATGTAGACATACCTGCATCAGTTTAGAATTTTCTTACTATTCCCAGATTAAAACTACAGATAAATCTCCATGAAATGATAAAAGATAACATGCCTTACTTTATTCCATACTTCTTTTTGATGATATCAATAAGCTCATGAAGATCAGAACATGTGTTATTTGAGCCTGAACTCCTGAATTTACCATTCTCCTTGAAGTTTACCAATCTGAATGCAAACCTATTGATCCATTGAGGTAGTAAGCAATGTAAATCAGTATGAGGAGAATGACTAATTTAAATCAGTACTTCTGAAAGGAAATCAATCAGTACATTTCATAAAAAAAACTTACTGTGTCCCTTCAGCAAAAGGTTCACCTTCTTTTCGAAACGCATTTACCACATCTTGCCATCCATCGTCGATTATTACAAACTTTGGTGCACAACCTCCTCTAGAGAAACTGGGGAATGAAACAAAAAGAACAAAAGGTCAGCGACCTGAACTAGTATCATCAATTAAAAACTAGTGTTGACAATCTAATTGTACCTTTCAAGGCCATCTATGATTCCTTGTGGATTTACTTCCCTATAAAAAACATCCCAAGTGCACCAGATAAACCAGTCCAAATGTGTAGGTACCTGTTTCACGGAAAAGTTTATTGATCAAATTATCAAATGGTATGCACATATGTATCAACAATGAGCTCGTCACCACCTTGTTATCGATATGACAAAAAGTACCCTTATGCTCCTCCAGAATCCTACACAAACACCCAAAAAGAAATCCTCTTGCATCTTGTAACTTTAAATAAGGAACTTACAAGAATTAGAGGATTGAGATCCCAAATATAACCAACTTGATTGAATTCCTTATGAGCTCGTATGGGTTGTCCCCTGAATTTGTAAAAACTACTTCCAACGTTTGGGAGGTTTGAACATTAGCATCTCCTGAATAAATCAACAATGGAAACTAAACAATTTCTCAAGTAATGCCCAAAAGAAATTTGAAATCTGGTTCTCTACATAGAACCACCAACCAAAAACCCCAACTAACCACTTTCAGCACAGAACTGGAGTGTAACGACCCCAGAAATCTAAAAGGAAATATATAATAATTTAAGTGCGGAAACGAAATAAAAGGTTAAGGTTTACCTCTCTTATACAATGACTTAAAAGTACTAAACAAACATTACGGAATGAATTCTCTAAAAGAAACACGAGAAATGCAAAAAGTAATAGAAAATAGAAAGTATCTAGCATATACTCGCAATCTTTCTGCGGATCGGGCTCTAGAACCAGGTACACTTGATCTGAAATGGTTATATAAAGGATGAACTATACTAGCCCATAAGGATATCACACTATATCACCTGCACAGAAGCAAATGTTGGTAGAAAACTAAAACAATTAATAGAGCACTAAATTTAGCAATTCGTTTACCAATCATAAAATCATTTACTCTTCACTTACCATTGTAGAATTTATGAGAATAACCTATATAGGCAATAATATCATACAGATCATAACTTCATGCACGATCAGCACCATAGAACATATCATAAATTCATGTTCATTAACAATAAACTAAATCATAACCATTTCTCGTTTCAGCAGCCTACTAGTATCCATGGGGATCCATAGGGGTATCCCCGCTACACGTGAACCATTTCCCTTAACAATCTCAATCACAGGGCCGTCCCTATACCCCGTCCGGTATGAGAGTGAAGTGGGCCGTCCCCATACCCCGTCCGGTATGAGACAACGTTCACAGTAGGGTTCCCTATGAATCCGGTCCATCGACAATCTCCTAGGATATCTAGTGAGGCTGTCATCTTATCTATTTATTTGATCACACCATTTTCCTGTTTCCTCTTAATCTCCATTACCAAATTAAACATAATCACATAAATAAATAAACATGCGTCCGGTAATATAATCATATCTTAAATCTCAAAATTAAACAGTGGTCAGGTAAGACAGTAATACATGCATTTAAACTAAAAAATAGATAAATCAGATACCATCATGCTTTTAGACTGTAAAATAAATCAACAGAAATCAATAGAGAACAATGTCCGGTTCGGGCTCTATTAGCAATCCGTAATTAATTATGCACATCTATTTAATTTGTACAAAATACCGTATTATTATTTATTCAAACTTCAAACCTATGATAGAAAATAGGGTGAGGGGTCCTTACTTGATTTGATGCCAAAAAGCTAAATGGTTTACTACGCCTACAGGCAATCCCTGGGTTCCTTGAATTTTTCTCCGAGAATTGAAACGCATTTATGGTACCTACAAATGTTCCAAATAAACCAAAAAATTAGTTCGAGGGGCCTTATCGGCCAATTTCAGAAATCCAGCCGCCGTGCTCCGGCGACGGCGTAGCTGCCTGTGGCGGCAGTCCACCTCGGGTCGGCCATTTTCAGCTGAATTCGGTCGATTTTACTTCGATTCCTGCGAGCACACACGCTAAAGGGCCTCGATGGGCCGAAAAAATACGAAAAATCGAAACTCACCGGCGGTGGGGCTCTCCGATGTGGCGGCTCCTCCGCCTCACTTTGCGGTTGGTTGTTTTACTTCGGTCAACCTGTAGAGAAGAAAACGGTGATCACAACGGTGGAAAAAATTTACAAAATGGAAATCGAGAAGGGCCTCATCGGAGGCGGTTTGTGAAATTCTCTGCGGCGGCGCCGCTGAGCTTCGTCGGTGTTTTCCGACCAATTGGCCAGTTCTTTCACTCCGATTTGGCCATGGGTGGATTTAAAATTGAATTTCGTGCAAAATGGAAAATTTTTACCTTTTTTAGCGGTCGGAAAGGGTTCCGGTGCGGCGGCAGGTGGCGACGGTTGGCTCCCCGGCGACTGGGTTGTCTTCTTCGGCAAGGGGTTCTGGCAGCTAGGGTTAGGGTTTAGGTGCGGATGAGGTTATTTATAATCATCCGCTTTTGATCTGGGTCGTCCATCGCGTTTGATCTGGACCGTCCTATTGCGATTAAATAGAGAGTGAATCTGGCCTGTTCATCGCTATCTAATCTGAGCCGTCCGTGTGCGATTCACTCTGGGTCGTCCGTGCACACGGCAACGGACTTCAGCCGTTCAATCGCGCGCACGCAGATCGGCCACGTGACTCCCCCCGCGTGGCCTCTCACGTCAACGCCTCTGCCACTTGGCGCGTCCTGGTTGGTCGGATCTGCTGACTGAACGTTTGACGTGGCACAATTTTTTTAAATTACGTTTTGACTCTCGATTTTCGATTTTTCTTTAAAAAATACTCATAAAACTCAAATTTTCACCCATTTTACTCAAAATTATTTTTAATTTAATTATTTATTAATTTACTCAATTTTTTATTAAATTAAAATAAAACAAAATATAAATAAATAAATTAAATAATTAAAAAATTATATTTATTAATAAAAAATAAAATAAAATAAAATACCTAAAAAGTTTTTTTTTTTTTTTTTAGGTGGGTGTTACATGGAGCGCATTTGCAGGAGTCCCTTGCAAAGATGTCCTAAATTTCCCATCCAACACAGGCAACAGAAGAATGAAGAAAATGTTTTCAGTGTCCGCATTGGGTGACATCTCATCACCAATGGCGGGGTCTTCTTTTGTTTCCAGAAGAAGCATTTGAGTTTCCATGGGGATTTCACTGCCGGATTTCCCTACTCGTGGTATCATCCACCAGATTTTAAATCTGAAGAGAGACAGGAACCTGCATTCCCTGCAATGGGCAGAAGCAATTTGAATCAAACTCCAAAGAAACACCGCATGGAAATGGATTAGATAAATTGTAAAACCAAAATATACCCATCCTAGCTTCAGCTTGTGAATTTAATATTTTGGATGTATGCCATAAAACAGAAATGAATCTTAGAAGAGAGTAACGATGTTCATGCTTTAAAACTCAGAATGCTCATTTCTTTTCCGCACAGTTTCTCCCTAACCAAACATGTGAAATGCTATTATAAGCAGAGACTTAAGAACTCCAAGACTGAAAACATGGCGAGAGCTTGGAACAGTTGAAGTTGCACCTAGGAAAGCTGAACCCGCTGTCACTGGAGCGACAGTGCCATTTTGTGGAATTCCGCTCAGCATCGTATTGCCCCTTACAAAGAGACACCCCTCCCTGATCCTACCCATTTCTATTTATACAGACAACTTCAAGAAGGATCAAGTCTGTTGTCTTCGATCAGAAACACCAAAAGAAGCCTCGAGCTGAAGTTTTAAGAAGTAGCCAATACCAGGCAATCTGGAAGCCGGTTCAAAAAAGATAAAAGAAGTTTTCCGAGTTTACCAATCCAGTTCCTGATGCATCTTTGAATGTTAATTCTTCAAAATGATTATGGAGAAAACATGCTGAGAGAGAAAAAAAATTTCTAGACCCATTTGGTGGAAAAGACTGAACTGGAAGAATTCAGAAGAATTGATACTTTTCTTCACTGAAAAAAGAAAAAGAAAACAAAGAAAGATGACGTGATTTGAAAGTATATTTTTATTGCATAAATATTCATTTGTTCGATATGCAGCATGGTGGCATAAGAATACTGGAAAGATTTATCTTGAAACTTGGACGTGGCAGCTAGCAGGACATGAAACCTGTTTAGCAATTTCTATTTATACATTTCATTAACATGCAATAAATATATTATTCTTGAGAGAGAACCAAAAAAAGAAATATAATTATATAAACAGAGTGATCAAGCATGGACGAGCCTGATCCACTGAGATAGACTAGGGATGGCCCCGTTCAACACTGTAAGCAAATAATAACCAGAAGGTGCTACATTTGGGGATTGAGGAGACTCCACAACTGCACTTATCCAACCATCTTGTTCCCTTACAATGCTTCTGCACCTAAGCATCAGCATTCTCTGATTCATTGAAACAGAGTGCGTTGTAAATGGAGGTGCATAAGCGCTGAACTTCACCTCATTGCTTGGCTTCCTCCCCAGCCTGAACCTGACTGTAAAGGCCTCTCCGTACCGGACTCCATCCCTGTTCCTCCCGTAGTTTACAGACACGTTACTTGGTCTGTAATCATGGTACTGTTTACCCATGTAGTGAGGAACAAATGCTTGTAACCTGAGTTCAGTTGGATAAGAGACTTTACTGAAGGTGTAATTGTGGTTAGGGTTGCTACCACCAACTAGTACCCTCCCATCAGGTAAAAGAAGAGCAGATGAGTGATACATTCTTGGTATTCTAGTGGCTTTTTGGACTGAGAATCTCCGACCCAATTTTGCCTTTGGCTTGTAGAGGTAGGGCTGAAGAGCAGCATTAGCTGCATTGTTCCACCCGGCACAGCCATTTTTGGCACCATTGACGATCAGAATATGACCAGTTGGGAGGATCAGCATGTCGCTCATAACACGGGGTCCAGGCATGTTTTCCATATTCCATTTGTGCTTGTTTCCTGTGATCACCATTCTCCCACAGGAGATCAGTCCCTTGAGGAATCTTCTATTGTTCTCTGCAGCTGTATAGGCTCCAGAAGCTGAACCCCCACAAATCATGACTTCCACTTTCTGGAACCTGTTTGTGTGATGTAAAGGAAGAATTACTGATGAACCAGAGCTGGGATAGTTTCTGGAACCACCTCCTGGAATCCTAGGAAAGGTCTTGATAATCTTATCTCGTCTATAACTGAGAAGGACGGAGTCTCGGTTGGCGAAAATGAACAAATTTCCATCTGACGAGAGATGAAGAAACGGGTAAAGATTATTCCCTCCAGCATCCTTCTCATAAGTCTGATGCAGGAAGGGAAGATCCATAGGCTTGTCACTTGATGGCAGCTTAGGAACAAATTCATAGGTGAACACTCTCCTTCCACCTACTACAATAACTCGATCATTCTCGGGAAGTAATTGATTGGAAGAACACCAACGTTCATCAGACAATGATCTCCTTGATTGCTTCCAATCACACTGGGCATCGCCACAAGGCCTGAAGTATCTGATTCTATGAGCTCCCCTGCCGTATCCGCCTGTCTGAACAAGAGTTCCATTGCTCAGAAAAGAACCGGAAGAGCACCAGGGATCTGTATCAAGCCTTAGAGCTCTAATTTTGTTATCCAAGATATTGTATTCAACTGAATGAGCATAACATGACCAATCTAAATCTTCGCGCCTGATTCCACATCTTGTCCTGTTGTACCTCTGGCGAAGTGGATACCCAGACTGGGCTTCTGTGTTTTGATCAAACATAAGGACAGTATTGTGATGAGTCAATGCCATGTGTGCAGCCACTACTCCAGAGCTGTTCAAGAGAAGCTGCCATCTTCCTTGCTCGCCTCCCAAGGATCCTCCAGCTGCTCGACTAAACCTGAAAAAATGCAGCGACAAGGTAATTACAGTGATCACAATAATAACATCTGCTGCTTTGTCCGCCATTTGCAGCAGAGAGAGAAACTGTTATGCAATGACTTGTGGTACTAACTATGCTTCTTTATAGATGGCTGCGACTGGTTTTAGGCCATTCACTACGAAACCATGCATTCAAGACATATGACTTCGCTCCTTTAAATTCGGTCAGTAGCCAAAAACATGCCACCTGCAGGCACTGCTACAAGAACGAGGAGGAATTGAAACTTTGTGTGACATACAATTTTGCAGGAATTCATGAAAATACTGCACTTAATATGCCCATTCCATTGATATTTCTGGTTTTATAATACATGAAAATTTTCAAGTTTATTCAGGGTTTTTACTGATACCTTAGCTAATCAAATTTTAAGCAATTGCTTTCCCAACTGAAGATAACAATAAATAAAATATCCTCTACCATAGAGAGGATAAACAACATATGTACCTAACCTGAACCTAATAAAATCAAAAAGTTTCCAACTTTTATGTGCATGTGAATAGCATCAGTAACAGATTCAATGATGAATATTTTTTCATCTGAAAATTCTCATTCAAAAATTTTTAAGTAGAACTCATATTTTCCCAACGGTTAGAATTTACTGACGGTAAAATTTTATATAAATTTGATGTACTTCTATCTTTAACAATTAATCCAACATTCAATGTGGATCCAAGATGTGATTGTTCCATTGGTTAAATGCTATTAATGAAAATAATAATTCTTTAGTTTTAACAATAGGTTATAGAAACTTTTTGATTCATTATGTTAATACTCTAAGTTATATACAAGTACAATGATAGAAACAAAAAGTGCAAATTTTCTTGTGATAGTCCGGAACGAGGTAATACTTATAATGTTTCAGCTTGGATACATTTATTTGGTAATTTTATGGATGTTAAATATTACTAAATTAGTTACTTTTTGTTAGTTTTAAAGACACCATATTATGACAAAATAACATTTTATAATTTAATGAATCTTCCACTTATTTAGTGAGATAATCAAGAGATTACTTATGATTAAACTCTTCACAACTTACCAATGAGTATTATTTCTTTAGTATGAATGGTTTATTAGTCTAGGCATGAATATTCTTAGTTGGATATTTTATTTGATCTACTGGATTTATGTTCTTGATTAAATAGTTAAGTATTAAAGCTATTCACAGTTTCAAAAATTTGCTCACTGGTTAATACAATGCCAAAATACACACCCCTATTGACAAAAACAAAGGAATCACAGACTCAAAAGGAATTAGTTATGTTCATAAAGGATCAGGCCTTGATAATACATTTAACATTCCACGAGAAGAGTACACGAGTAACAGGCATCACTTTGAGGAGGATAACAGAAACTCATTTCATCTCACGTTATGTACATATTCAAATAACATTGCCAGCTTCTGGTGTGAGTATGTCCAACAATGTCATTTGAAAGCTACAAATCCAGGCCACTTATGATCTATGCCATTTTCCAGAGCCAATAGCGAGTATGTTTCCTTTTCATTTGGGAGCAGAGAAAAATGACCGCAGTAAACCATATAAAACAGAAAATTGACACTAAATATAATGGAACTTCTGCATGAACAATCAGAAACAGGAGATATGTACAGACTTTAAGGAGTATCCCTATCTGAAACTGCATGTAGTCATTACCAAACCATGCTCGGAAAGAGGCTTGTAGGAAGTTCAAGTTCTATTAGCAGTTTCACAGAAGAAAGTGCCATTTAATAGAGCTTTATTCTAGTGCCAATGGGGCTTCGGCAAATAGGGCATAACTGAAGATCTTGTCCACAGTCACAACAAGTCTGCAAACCAATAAACCCATTACATTCTTCCAATCCATGCTCTAAGTTGCAGAAAAAAAAAAATGCACATATACATACCTGATGCCCACACCCGAAAGCCATGTCCTTTGGACTGGTAAGGCAAATAGGACATACCTGTCAAGTTCACATCAAGAGAAAATCTAAGGTTGTATCATTTTGCTTAATACATTAGAGATCAAAAGTATTCATTATTTTTAGACCAGAACTTGAGGCTCTTTAATCAGGAAAGAGCAATTTGAAATGCCAATTTCCACAGAAAGAGGAAACTTTAAGTACATGATTGTCAGAAGCAGAACTTGCAGGCGGTGCGGTGCTGACGACTCTCTCACGTCTACCAGAAGGGGCACTAGGACTAAAACTACTCATATGAGAAGATTTAGAAGAGGTGAAAGAAGATGTAGTGTAGCATGGAGGGGGAAGAGGAACTCTGTCAATAGCCTTCCCTCTACAAGCACTGATTTAGAAATAGGAAAGGAATACAGACACAAGTAAAAGTTTTGTCGACGTCAATATAGTAGAAGCTCACACTTATGAGATTTAAGTTGTTACCCCAAAATACCCAGCTCTAGTGTTGCTTTATATTGTGAAGGTATTTCCATTAGTGCTGCAAGAGCAAACTCGGCTTCTTTTCTAGACCTGTCTATATTCTTTGACATAATTTCTGAAAAATTTACAAACTACAACAAAAAGGGGGTTAAGCACTGAGTTAAGCGCTGATAAAGAAGATAAGAACCTCCACAGGCCAAAAGATAAGGATGAAGCAGAGATGAATGCCTCCCTGTTATATCTTACCTGAAAATTATCAAATGCTCGAGCAGGGATGTTATCATCAAATTCCTTCATCATGTCCCATGGCCCATCTCCGACCCCAACTAAGATTATAGACAAGGGGTACTGACTGCAATTAACAAGCGTATTTGGACAACAAATCGGAGAGTTATTCAGAAAAGAAAGATATCACTACACAAAGAAGCAGTATAAACATTTTTTTTTAAAAAAATAGAAGTATAGCACAAAGAAGCAGCACAAACAGTTTACCTAGCTTTTACAATTGCTTCAACAGTGTTTTTTTCCTGTGGGCTTAGTTGGCCACGTTCAGTATCAACACTCCTTGTCACCTATGACAAACACCAGTTTTATCAATATAACATAAGCAACCTTACAATATACTAGCAGTGTGAAACAGCTATTGCTGATCACTTCTTGCACCCAAAAACATACTGCTAGGTGACCTAATAGAGTACTGTTTCTACACCTAATACCTAAAATTCCTTCATTATCTTCGAATGTAGAAACTGATACAGGACTTTGGCATTTACCTTTATTATAACTGTTCATTTAGTTCCATTATTTTAGTAAGATTTCTTTTTTACTTCTTGGTTCTGCTTTAACTACTTACTCTTCAGTCTGCTAGGAAACTAAGCTGAGTTATTTTAAATCATTTAAATCATTAGAAACTTCAAGTGAACTTGCAGAAAAGTCAAAACAATTTGCTATTGACTGGGAAGCTTTGTCGAATATCTTGAATTCTTCTAGCCAGAAGTTTTATTTTCTAATTTGTATCATATTTCTCAGACATCAATAGATGCAGTCTCTATGTTCCTAATCTTATGATGCTAGTCTGCAATGCAAATAACAGGAGTAATTACTTATGTGTTACCTCTTTAATGCTCAGTTAGTGGTTATTTAAGTAAATTCTGAGATATAGCCTTTGCTCCTAAAAGGCACCCTGGATGAGATATAGTAATGGCTAAAATCAAAACAACCCCCCAACTTTTGATATTATGAATTCAAATATAAAACATCATAATCTAGGGTTTTCCTGTATACAGCAACAGAAACATGCAAGAAAATAAGAGAACGCAAAAAACCAAAAAACAAAGGAAAAAGTAATTTATCTCCACCAAAATTTCTAAAAATAAATCAGAAGATTTCATAATTGATTATGAAACACAGGTAGAGATAAAGCACCTGCCCATCTGCTATAATCAGTAACACATGGTACTGGCCACGACTTTGCTCAACAATCGTAATGGCCATTTCGATGATAGGAGCAAATGATGTTGGCCCTGGTAAAAGGAAAGAAAGTAGGAGGTTCATAAATGTAGAAACCAACCCAACCCATATAGAAATATAGAGAAAAATGAGATTGCAACCAGCAAGCCGTAGTTGAGGAACTAATTCTCTATATCGTCTCAAAATCTCTTCAAACCCATTACAAAACCTCTCATCTGGATAAAAACTGAACACTTCTTGGTCATGAGTTGATGCTGCCAATTTGTAAAACCAAATTTTATATTTAATGGTTAAGATGATGAAATCAAAGAGTAAAGAAAAACCTTTTTTTAAGAAATACCATCTCCAAATCCAAAGCAAGGAATTAGGTTATCTTCATCAAAGGACGACAATGTTTTTCCAATAATGGATATTGCCTGTTCATAGGGATTTTGATCATCTCCAATGTGATGTAGGCATTTTCTGTTGAATGACCTTGTGCCTAATATAGACCCAAGTTAAATATGTTTCAGTTTCACCATTACTGAACACAGAACTCAAAAGCAGCAAACAAGATTAAACCTGTCCATTCATTGCTCTTTGTGAAATCAATACCAACGATCAGATTAGAAGACTCAAGGCCAGCACGTGCCAGAGCATCAGTAACCTAGGGTGGAACAGAAATATTAGGGAAAGACGAGTGCTTTCTTGAATGGACAAATAGTTGTGAGAAAAGATATTGTTATTTAGTCATTGGCATGACAGAATTTGTCATGCATTCATCAGGAGCAACAGAAATATATCAAAACATACTCTTATTACTCAAGCCCTTGTTTTTTAACTCGTGCTGCATAATTCTTTGATGCAAAAACCATTTCTCTCATGTCAAATGGTAGCACAGCACAAAACTTTCTAAGTAATCAAACCCTTCAAAGGTCATTGTCAATGAGGAAATTCTCAACAGCGAAAATGAAAGTGAGCATATTGGATCTTTTGCAATGAATACCAATTTGTTCCCATAGAAACAACTATACCTGCTCCAGGCTAGTATAGTTATCATCTATTTTAGAATACTTCCTCTCCAGCCTCCTTCTCATATCTGGAGCCTGACCACCATAGCCTTGAGGGAAAGGTGCATAATGCTGGGGTTGTCCATAACCTTGACTTGGTTGACCATATGGCTGCTGATAGCTGTGATGATTCCATGTATATGAAGCAGACCCTACCGATGAAGTTTGTCGTGAAACTGAGCGTTTTGAAGATCCACCACCCATAGATTCTACAATTTATGGATTTTCTGTAGCATCCAACAAAAGCAGTTCATAGTTATACGAAGTGGATATCTTTACGCCTGAGAACCAAAGTTGACATCATGAATTGCATCTCAAAACATAATCCATCGCATGCTTGAAAAGCAACAGAAATTATAGAAACTTGCTTCTCAAATGTCAATAAAGCGAGGAATTATAAAGCAAAGAACTTATCAAGCAACCAATTTTGTCTATTAGTACAGACGATTGACATCTGAAGACTGCTTTCAAATGCATAAGATAGCAGTCATATTGACCAATCCAGCTATATTGATACTTGATAGAAGCTCTTTATTTAGCAATTTTCCTAGAAAACTTCCAAAGAGATTAAAAACACAGCTGAAAAAGATGAAACCCTTTAAAAAATCTGAATACTCAACGTGTTATATGCCAAATAAAACTGATATACGCATACCGGTTGACTGTGTTGGCGAAGTAGGTGCAGAAACACCTGACGCCAATTTACATTCAGACCAAGGAATGAATGTCATACATCCTCTTCCAATTGTGGATTTTATTAATTCAAAAAGGCTAATGGAGCTTTATGCTTATGCATCCATCACCAAAGTCAAACAGTTTCAAGTTTGAGTATGAATCAGTAAGAAATGAACGAAATTTTTTTAAGGAAAAAAATGTGAGGTGAAATCATTCTCCTTTTAATACTCAACCAAAAAAGGCATCAAATTTAATACATTCAAGCATGAGTAAATAAAAAAAAAATGCATGTAGCTAAATTTGCAGAGATCACAAATTCAGAAGCAAATCCAGTTTAAAACCCACATCATCCAAATTCAGAACCAACATGGGAACCGCCGCCCATCCGAAATAAAGAGGTGAAATCATGAAAAATAAACTTAACGTACCGTAGACCTACGAGTTCAGTCTCAGCTAGACCTGTTCTTCATTCTGGTGTAGAAGGAGGTGGATAGGAAGGAAAGGAGAGAGTTCGTCGGTGAGCGGAGGAAGCGGGCAATGGTTCACGTTTTGTCGCCTTGTTGGGAAGTAAAAGCTGGCTTTTCTTGTCGTATTTCTAGGAAGTTTCCTACCCTTAGCTCTACTCTAGTTATCTAGTTAAGGCCAGCATTTTTTTAGTACATCATATTATCATATCAAGTTTATTTTAAACAAAAATTAAAATTAAAATCTTTTTCTTAAATTAAAATTTAAGTAACTTCCAAACAAAAGCCAAAATAATTTGATGAATATATTTTAGAAAATATATTAACTTAATAATAATAATCTATCCGAAACATCCAAGATCTAATTGGGTTTGGATATTTGGTTTAGATACAAACTAAAGATAATCCAAGATGTATGTTTTTGTTGAAAACAAAATGCATGGAATTAACTTATTTTATACTATCCTTTTTTTTAATTTCAAATTTTGACAAATTTATTTAGTTATTTTAATTATATAAAAATTAATTACTAGAAGTTTCTTATAAAAATGAATTTATGGTGGAAAGAGTTTTTATCTGTTTTAAGTTGAAGGGTATTTAGATATAATATAAAAAGTAGGCTATTATTACCAAAGATAAAATAATTGATTTCTACTTAATTATAATCTTGAATTATCATATATACTAATGAAATGAGATTCCTAATCATGGACTAATACTCATTAAGGATGATTACAACTTCAAAAAATGACCAATAGCCGTTAAATTCATGTATTTTTTTATATATACATTAGCTCAAACGTGATATAAAAATACCACTTTTACAGTTTTTTTCTTTTAATTATTAAAGACAAATTAAAAGGTGGTTAGTAATGAATATGTAATATAACAAGTTCGGAAATTAGTCTTGGAATAGTAAATTTTGATTTTCTTAAATAATAATAATAATAATAATAATAGTTAAGTTTTTTTTTTTTAATTTAAAAGATGCAAAAAATAATTATTATTAAGAGAAATATATACATTTTGGGTACTTTTAAAAACAAATTTCATAAATCAGGATCAAACTGTAAATAAAAAAAGGTAAGTTTGAAAAAAAATTAAAAACAGGAGTCAATTTGCAAAAAGAAAAAAAAATGAGCCACGTGGATGCCCAGTCAGGAGCGCACCGAATCGCTACACGCCACGTGGTGACCACATCAACACGGGCTCCACACGAGAAGCCTATGCTAGCAATTCGTACGCCAAAAAGATCAGACAGCCCGTGTCCACTCCCACTCGTCCAAATGGCCTAGATCAATTCTCTGAGTAAGCCCGATCGAAAAACACCTGTTGCCCCACGCAAACCAGAATAGACGGCCCAGATCGATTCTCCGCATAAGCCTGATCGAACAACCTTTCTTAAACCTCTCTTCAGTCGGCCCTAAACCCTAGCTGACACAGGGTTACCGGAGAAGAAGAAGAAGGGTGGTCGGAGGAGAGCTCAGCCACTAGAGAGACGCCGGCGCCACTGTATCGGAACACGAAAATGTGTCAATAAGGTCAAATTTTTTTCTCGTTCTTCTCATTTCTCCGTCCTTAGCTGCCTAAACCATTTTCAATGCAGGATAACCGAGAGAAGTCGCAAATCGCGAGAGAGGGACAGTGGAGCTTGGCTGAGCCGCCGCATCGGAGAACGAAAATCCCTTGTAAGGTTAAATTTTTTCCCTACCTTCTCCAAAAAATACCCCTTAACCACGATTTAAATAAATTTCCATCAGGAACCAGCCAGAATTGGTTTGGTCGAGAGGGAGAAGCTCCGAAGAAGGAGAACTAGGTGGCAGAGCTCAGCAGCGCCGCTGCGCTGGAACCCTAACCCGACCTCTAATGAGTTTTTTTTTTTTTTTTTCCTTTTTCACCATTCTTTATGTATTTTTATGCCGTTTTGATGTGCATTTCCAAATTTTACCAGGAAACCCAAGAAATCCAATAATCGGGAACTATCGCGAACCGTAGTGAAAAAAGCAGTGTCCTAGACACTGACTCAGAGAAAGAATCCCTCAACATTTTCTTCTGTCACGGTTAAATTAAAGTTTAATTAATAATAAATGAAAATTTTTAAATAGTTTTGCAATTCCTTAATTGATTAAATATGGGTTGTTGATGGAGCCAGTAATTGATTTGTTTACGTTCGTTACTAGCTTATTTGTGTTGCCTATACATTATTTTTATCTCTATTTTTATTTGATTTTAATTGCTTATTTTTATCTCATTTTAATTTGTTTTACTTTATTTTATACTAGCCTATTTCCTTTTAATTGGCCTAATTCGTTCCCATTTTTCTTTTGTTAAGACTGATACATTAATCATGCACCTTGATTCCTAGAAGGGTACTTTATTGCACTTCATTTTTACTTTCTACTTTGTTAAATTCCACCTTGAGTTATCGTTTTATTTTATTATTCATGTTATAGCAATATGTTGTGTTTTTATTCTATTATGATATTTTAATTCACTTTTATTTAACAATTTTATCCCTTAATAAATTTTAAAGCACGAATTTTGCTTTCTTGTATTTTTGAAGTATGGGTCTTGTGTATTACTGAGGGCTAGATAATAATGAAAAATATACATGCATAAACTAATGTCGTTGAGTAAAAAGGCTTATCAGGTATCATGAAAAAGAGTGTACGGACTTGGTACATAGGGTGAACCTTACCGTGGACGTTACCCTCAGTCGTATAGGACTAGGAAGTCCTATACCGGACAGGGTTTAAAGTTTACAAATTTCGTTCATATTGGACAGGGTATTGAAATAGTTTTTAGTTGTGGTGCTCATTACTGGATGGAGTATGGGGATGGCAGATTGATTTACAAAAAAGTGTATGTATCCACATGTAGCAGAGATCTCTTTAGGCCTCCAGCAATACCGGTGGAGAAAAATAAAATGATAGAGTAGAGATGAGTATGGTAAGTAGCCCGACTTTGGGCAAAGAGTGAAGAATCGAATGTTACATGCCTATTGGAATGTATGCTATCTATAATTAAATTGTCATTCTGATTTTATCTTAATGTATGACATCTGAGAAATTACTAATTAGGGAAGAAAATACTAACGCTTCAGTGAAACAGATAATGAATGCACTAATATAGATTTTATTAAAAATATGCTATGTTAGTCATTTTATATTTTTTACAATCCTTTGATTTTCTGTATTAATGGTAAGGCGTTGATATCCTTGCTGAGCTAGTATAGTTCACCAATTTCTTATTAACCATTTCAGATCAGAATGACTAATACTTGGATTCTAAACAGCAAGAGACCAGCTAAACAATTACCTCTTGCCACTTCGTCAATTTCAAATAGAGGTTAATAATATTTACTTGTTAGTGGTTTTTCTTGTTGCAAGTTCCGAAGCATTCCCATAGCCCCTATTTGGGTGTTTTAACTAAATGTACAAGAAATGTAATCTTTGAACCATTAATTCTTTGGCTAAATAAAGGAATTCAGTATTATTATTATTATTACTATTATTATTATTATTATTATTATTATTATTATTATGATTGGTCCAAAATATTTAAAATCCCTGCTAGGGGTTTTGGGCTTTTACAGTTGGTATTAAAGTCGCATTTCTCCGAACTGTTCCTTACACATAAGGTTAGAATAAATTTAATACAATTAGATTCTCAACTATTGTCATGTAATGTAGGTAAGGAAACATGAGGAGAAGAAGGCCCCCACTAAATAGAGGAGCCCAGGAGGGATCACTTAGAAAATACGTTGAGTGGCTCTTCGAAATGCTTGAGAGACTGATTTCTGCCTAGCAGGCTAGGAAAGAGATGAGGGAGTTACCTAATCCCCCTCCACCCCTACCATAATATGAACCATCTCCACATCGAGAAGATCCAGTACCCCCACGGTACAGCTAAGTTCCTCCATAGTACCATCCGACACCTTTATGGTATAATTTAGTGCCTCCACCATACAATCCGGTGCTGCCACAGGGCCACCCAATTCCTTCCTAGTATAATCCAGTTCCCCTCCAGTAAGACCCAACTCTGACTACGATGGACCCAGATTATATCAAGAGGTATAAGAGACTTAACCCATCTAGTTTTGCAAAGGCATCCACTTTTGAGGAAGCTGAGTACCGGTTAATAGAGACAGAGAAGGCATTTGCGACACTTGAGGTGATTCCTGAACATAAGGTTATCTTTGCCATGTATATGCTTGTAGGTGAGGCAGGGCATTGGTGGCAACTCAAGTAGGTTACTCTACCCGCTCCAGTTACTTGAGAACAATTTTTGGTAGCCTTCAATGCTGAGTACCTTTCAGAACATCTCCGACACCTAAAAGGAATAGAGTTTGCGCAGTAAGTCCAAGGATATTTGTCAATATCATAATATACTCAAAAATTTATAGAGTTAGGTCAGTACTCCCCTGAGAGCATGACAAATGAATGTAGGAAGGCAATGAGGTTTGAATGGGGTCTTCATCCTGAGATTAGACAGCAGCTGTATGTATTTGAGCTTGACACTTATTTGACAATCTTGGCCAAGGCACAGCTAATCGAGAGGAACATCCGTATTTTTCCCTCAACAATGGGTAGTTAACTCCATGCCCACAATTCTGCATCGCAAACCACCACCTATTACTCTAAACCAGCAGAACAAGAGACCAAGGCCTTCACCTCAAGCTCCTCCCCATACTCCGATAGCAAGACGTGGTAAGATTTGCCAGCACTGTGGCAAGGATCATAGGAACTGACTTCGTTATCGTCTCAACAATACCTGTCGCATATGCGGGAGTGCCCAACATTAAGTGAGAGAGTGCCTGAAGAATCATAATTAGGCCAGACCCAAGGTCTAGGGCAAAGTCTACACGCTCATCTAGCAGAATGTTGAAGCCAACCCAAATGTGATTAAGGGTATGTATACTATCTGCAAATATTTTGCACATATTTTGATTGACATTGGTATTTTGTATTTTTTTGTTTCACATGCTTTTACTCAATATTTAAATGTACTACTTGAACGTCTTGATTCTGTATTGATGGTGTCTGCACTAGGAACAGAATGTAACTGGAAAATGTTATATACAAATCTTGCATCATAAAAATAGTACGTAGGGAACTAAGCCCAGATCTAATAGCACTAGATACAAGA